AGTGCCTAAAACAAATGCAAAACTTTTTAAAGCTTCAAAAGTGAGACTGTGTCTACACTGCGCAGCGTTTAGCGACACGGCTGTCACTACAGCACAACATAGCCACTGTTTGTCATCAGGAAAGAGCTCTCCTGCTGACAAAAATCTTCCACACCCACCGAGTGGGGTTAGTATTGTCAGCAAGAGAGCTCTCCTGCCGACAGAGTGCTGTTCACACCGGCATTTGTTGTTGTCATCAAAACTTTTGTCTTTCGGGTGTTTTAATATCTCTGAACGACAAAAGTTTTGTCTTTCACTTGCCAGTGTAGACAAAGTCTGACTAAAGATTTACTTCTCCATTGTTCCCAGAAATAGTGGTTGTGGTGTGGTAGGACCTATGGAGAACCTGCAAGTTTTCCTGGGATACATCATATTTAGGTGTCTACACTGTAACTGGTACTCATCATGATCCCTTTGGATGTTAAAAATTTAAAGGTAATTAGTACTCCATGGATGTTCCTTGAGTGACAAATTGTTCCCCCTGCATCCCATATATTGCTGTAGGCTTCTTCCCAGTGCAGATGCTTTAAAACAGCGGCTCTGTGGGGGAGGTGCTCTTATGACCTTTTTTACTTTCTTTAGATTTTTTCAAAGGTCAGGAGAAACTTGATGAAATTTTTATGTGGTTTAAAAAGCTCATCTTATTAAAGTTTAATAAGGAGGTGGCAGCAGCAAGAGCTCAATTTGAAGTGCTCAGATATATTGTAAAGGAGAAGCTAGAGCTTTTAGTAATGCAGGAACAGCTAATTTCTGAACTCTGCTGTTTTTAAGCAATTGTATGTAGAAGCACACTAGCCTTTCTACAGAAATCATTGAAAACGGATGCTGTGTTTCTTAAATAAAAAAAATACATCGAACTGTATGTTACAGGTGCCTTACAGTTAACCTTGTGCACTTCCACTCGTCCAAAATCATTAAACACCTTTTGTGGTTATTCAGTTTGCCAGTTAGTGATGTCTTTTTCCTTAAGCTAGTATCAGTCATGAGTCTAAAAGCAAAAATTCCATCTACCCAAGGTGTACAAATAGCAAGACTGAGACATAAAGAATATTGGTTCATCAGGGGGCTTGTGTACATTAGGAATTTTTGCATCAGTGTAAGCACATGGGTGAAAATCAAAAGTGTAGATGGTACAATTTACACTGGTTTCAAACCGGGGTAAGTTCCACTAGTGCAACACATCTGTGCTGTTTATTTTCACATTGGTGTAAACCCCTAAAGTACACAACCCCTGAAACTTAATATGATCTCCAAACTGCTATTAGAGTTACAAGATAATTAAATGTGAAATGTTGTTAAAGATCAAGCTTGCTCTGTTAGTTTTGTAGGTGCCCAAGTTAAATATGAACGTTTCCAAAGGAAAATGAACTCTTATATTATAACTTTCAGTGCAGGTACATATGTATATGTAATTGTCACATGGTTTGAAGGTCCAATCCAGATCAGTGAGAGGTTGTCACTGCCTGCCCTGTAACTCTGGGTGCCTGAAATGTCCTGCTGCTGTAGCTCACAACCTGGCACCAGCCGACAAGCCTTCAGGTCACATCCGAAGTGTCTGTGTACTAGACAGCCCTGATCCACAGCCTGTCTACAGCCCCTTTCTGGCTCCCACCAACCTTAGTTACAACCAGCAAGGTGACTCCAACACACTCTGGAAGTTCCCCAAAATGGTATGCTCTGCAGTGTCCAGCCCTCTCCTAGACAGTTCAGAGAAAAAATCTTTGCTTGTTCCTTTAAAGAGACAAAAACACATCAGAGCTTATTAACTTACCAGGGGTAAATACACTCTACCCAGAAAACATAGCACTGAGTTGGTTTATAGTAAAAATAAAACACATTTAATAACAGAATATAGGTTGTGATGCCAAGTAAAAGGAATAGGGTTAGAAAGGGAGCGCAAATAAAAGTGAAAACGCTTGTCTAAAACTTCATCTAGTAAGGTACAGGCTTTGTTCAAGATGTTTTCTCTCACCATTCATTCTTCTTTCCAGTCCTAGCTGACTTTCCCTGTCAGGACCTTCTACAGAAGTACAAGATGCTGTCTTCCTAGGTGAAAAATCTTTGCATAAGCAGGTTTCTCACCTATATTTAGTTTCCAAAGACTTCAAACCCTTCCATGGTTGAAGAACCCATTTTTCTCAGCTAGCAAGAGCTCTGGCCTCTTGTTGTCTAGTGATGGTTGCCAAATATGTCTTCTGTCCTTGCTTCTGTCCTCCAAAATGCAATGACTTTGTTTCAAGAGAAGGATGGCTTCAAGTTCTTCTTCCCTGCCTGTGGACTTTCCATCTACCTGTATATAAATAGGGCTTCCATTGTTTTGACTTCACCATGCTTAATTTACATAAGAGTTAGGTACATAGCTGCCTTCTCTCCTTGTTGGGAGGGACCGTGATTGGCCACAAATCTTAAAGCATAATATTTCCTCATATTGTGTTAATACATACATTTCACAATGATATTAATCACTAGTGTGTCATTAGTTTTCAGAAAAGACCTCACTCTGTACACTTTTATAATACAGTATTATTGTACACAATCAGTTTATTCAGTAATTTATTACTTGAGGTTCAGCCCCATTTATTTATAGACTGGTAACCCTTTGAAATTGATTCTTTTCGGGATCAGCTCTGTTTTTTTCAAGCTCTGAGGAAAGTGACATGGAGTCTGGTGGTGAAGGAAGCTCCATGCTCTTTCATCTCTAGCTGGTGTTTGCTAAAATGCAAATCGTTCTGTTTCCTGCAATCTACCCTCCCCTTGTTAGCATGATAGCCCTGTTTACTGCTTATATGTAAACGTACCTTCTTTGTATCTGCCTCATGACCAAGCTGGGCAGAGCAGCAAACCCATTCCTTTGTCCAGAGCAGACCTGTTTGCCAATTCCCCTTGACATGCCTGGTTTAAACACATTTTAGTTATAATCTCAGCGTATATCCATAACTTTTAATACACATTGTGTACACACGTCATGAAAGAATATTAATCAGTGAGATCATTTTCAAATATACAAGGCATATTTTATACAAAGTTTACAGTAGTGTGTAAGGTGTGAATACAGGGGTGCTTAGGGTCACAGTAATACCATAACATATAATTACATACAAAAAGTCTAGATTCAAAGAAAGTTCTTTAGGATACAAAGTTACGTGCACAGCGGGACTGAACAAAGGTTTCCAGGGCAATATTAATTCTGGCACTTCCTAACTTTTGAGTGCTTGATTCTGCAGTCTTAATGTCCTTTTAATGTAATTTTTGGTGTAATGCCCAGTTAAAATAAAAAATTATATCATGCAGAACCATATGGATCACCAACACCATACATGGGTCATAAAGTTGGCATTGGACCTTTAGATTCACAGCACAGTCTCTACCACTTGAGCTGATCAAAGTCATAGGCTGTTATCCTCTATATTGACCAGTCACTAGAAGGGAGATGGGACACATGGTTTGCCAGTGGGCTTCATAGTTCTTTGCTAATAGCAGAGTAATGTAGAGACCCAGGACTCCTGGGTTCATTTCCAGGCTCTGAAGGGGAGTGTGCTCTAGAGATAAGACCCTTCTGCCCCATCTCTCTGTGCTTCTGTCTCCCACACCCTGCCTTCTGCCTCTTCTGGGTCTATCCTCACCCCAGATCGTACCCCTACCATTTCTGACCCCTCTGCATTCCAGTCGGGTTACTTTCTCCTCATCTTCCCTTTGTGGTTTCCAGCAAGGGGGAGCACTGAAAACGGGGGAGTTCTCTCTGTTCAGTGCCAGAGTAGCAGCCAGGAGAAATAGCTGCAATAAAGTCCAGCTCAGACCCTACCCCTTGCAGGATCATGCTCAGTACATATTTAACAACTACTTTCGCTGAAGATTCAACTGTAAATAAGTCTCTCCTGAGCATGTGCAAACAGCAATTTTTCTAAGGTTTATAAACTGTCCAAATTTGGGTGGATTTTAACGGGGGTGGCTTAAGACACATTCCCAACACCAGTGGTAAAGGAAAGCTTGAAAATAAAATCTTTCCTTACAAATTGTCCTTACAAGTGGTAACGGTAAAATATTCATAGTAATTGTATGTGTGACTATAGGAGTTTTTAAATAAAAAAATAAACTAACTTTCTCTCAATCAATGTAAACCTTATCCTGTTTCTGTGGGGCACTGTGGTTATTGAAATGAGGAAACATGAGTTTTGTTCAGCTCAGAGTGACCTGGCTCTGAAATCTGTGAACCAGCTGGCAACTTGCCATTCTTTATTGGCTTGGATCAGAGCAGTGCAGTTGGAATCAGCACTTTAAGCATAGAAATAGCTGTTTCCAGCTAACACTGATGCCCATTAAAAACAACCTGACCTTTTGCAACCAAATAGGTTTGTCTTGGAATCTGTATTCATGTGAGCTTTATTCAAGTATTGACAGAATTTTGATTTTATGGCCATAAAATTATTTTCTGGTGTGTGTAGATACTGGTTGGTTTTATGTTGTATTGAGATAAATATTAGGCTTGGGTATGAATTGCCTGCCTTTTGGAGGTAATTTCAGGTTTATTCCTTACTCAAGGAAACCCCAGCTAGAAAATTTAAGAGAACAAGTGATTATACAGCTCATTGAATAAAAAGTAATTAGAGCAGAGTACAGTGGGAGCTAGTGGAAGGGCATGAGCCTCTATTTATATCCCAGTGTATGTGTTTTAATGGCTCTGGGCTGTTTTTTTTAAAGCCATATCTACAACAGCCTATGAGACTTCTGCCATAGTAGATGATTACCTTGACTACATGTACATGGTCTGCAGTTGAATTTTCTCTCCCGTCTTATGTGCAGGATCTCTGATTGCTGTTGCTATATCCTCAGTACTTTGAATATTAGCCAATGATAGCAGAGTATTGTAGCATTAATATTTAGTCAAACTAAGTCATTTTAAAAGAAAAATTGTTAGACTTTAAGCATTAATTCCTGTGTCTTTTTCTTTGTACATTTAATAGCGTCGTCTTGGAGATGCTGCGAAGAAAGCCATCGGCAAATTGACAACCAGGACAGTAAAGAAGGGTGATAAGGTATAGTAAAAAGACTTCAGCAAAGTATACTTGAATCTCATGGTTTATTTTGGTAGTAAAAACAATTAACTTATCTGATTTGTTTTTCTTTCTCTCATCTTTGGTGCTGATTTACTTGCTGGGGAGTTAATCTTTTGCTGCAGTATTTCAGTGTGACATCTAGAGCTTTTCTGTATACTGTAGCCTTTGCTCCCCCAAAGGAGAATTTCTCTTGCGTAGGGACTAGTTGAGCTCCATCTGGTAACTGATTGTGAGTGCTGTTCTGTGCTAGCTGGCTAAGTATTTCTGCAGGCAGGAGTGCAGAAGACTTTGTATTGTGCCATCATGACAACATTTCATTTACTGTGCTCCTAATATCTCTGTATAAATTGTCAGTACTAGAAAAAGGCAAGGTTAGGGTTAGTTATGTGGAACACTGTAAACTTGGAATGTTGCACATATATGTTGTGCAAAATAAAAATAGAGGGGTTATAGAGGAAGAGTTCTTGTGAGAATTCACTTTTATAAATTAGTCTCTTGGGTTAGGGGAGAGGTATTTCACTTGAGTTGATTTCCTGAGTCTGAAGTCTTCTGCTGTGGGGAGCTATGTTTGGCTATCATAGAATAATTGATGATGAACTGTGAATTAAAAAGTTATAAGTACTCAACAGTTCTTTATCAGTGCTGTAACATTTATTTATAGCCTTGCTCACTTTCCCTTTCCAAAATGCACAGACCTGATTATAATTAAATGGTGTTCTGATTACAATTTTTCTTTTTAAAAAAAAAAACGTTTCCCTTTGGTTCTTCTGCTGACTCCCTCTCATCGTCTTTTCTACCAACACAACAGAAATAGGAGAAGCCACCTGAATTTGCTTCTCTGAAGAGAAATATGAGGAAAAATGCTTTTCCTAAGCCTTTGCTTTTTTGTTTCTAGGCAATTTGGTTACAAGAATCTTCTGCAGTAGATCTTTGCTGATGTGTATATATATTTAGAACTTATTAATACTACAAGGGAAGATGCTGCCTTCCTGACAACATAGATTCAAGATTATTAAGTGATATGGAGGTTGCAGAACAGGCAGCAGGGGACATGTATGTAGTTGAAAGGAATACAGGAATAAATCTGCCATTCATCAGTGCAGCCCATCAGGGTTCTCTGCATGAAATATTGACTGCCTGTTTCCAACAGTGGAGTTGTTAATTTTGTCTTGCTGTGGTTTCTGATGTCCTTGTCTCAGTACTTTGCTAGCGTTGAAAAGAATTGTATGATTTTGGAAGAAAGCACAGCCTGTGTGTCTGTGTAGTCCGCAGATTTTAGTGTATACCACCAATGCCACGGTTTTATCTACATGAAATCTGCTTTTCTCCAAAGGGAAACTTAAAATATGTGAAGTTATTTTTATCCGTATAGAAACAGTAATCCAACTGTAACCTTTATAACAAAGTATAGCTAGCAAAAAGAACAGGAGTACTTGTGGCACCTTAGAGACTAACTAATTTATTTGAGCATAAGCTTTCGTGAGCTACAGCTCACTTCATGGGATGCATTCAGTGGAAAATACAGTGAGGAGATTTATATACAACACAGAACATGAAAAAATGGGTGTTATCATACACCCTATAAGGAGAGTGATCATTCAAGATGAGCTATTACCAGCAGGAGAGCGGGGGTAGGGAAAGAAAACCTTTTGTAGTGATAATCAAGGTGGGCCATTTCCAGCAGTTAACAAGAACATCTGAGGGGGGCGGGGGGGAGATATAAACATGGGGAAATAGTTTTACTTTGTGTAATGACTCATCCACTCCCAGTCTCTATTCAAGCCTAAGTTAATTGTATCCAGTTTGCAAATTAATTCCAATTCAGCAGTCTCTCATTGGAGTCTGTTTTTGAAGTCTTTGTTGTAATATTGCAACTTTTAGGTCAGAAATCGAGTGACCAGAGAGATTGAAGTGTTCTCCAACTGGTTTATGAATGTTATAATTCTTGAAATCTGATTTGTGTCCATTTATTCTTTTATGTAGAGACTGTCCAGTTTGACCAATGTACATGGCAGAGGGGCATTGCTGGCATATGGTGGCATATATCACATTGGTAGATGTGCAGGTGAATGAGCCTCTGATAGTGTGGCTGATGTGATTAGGCCCTATGATGGTGTCCCCTGAATAGATATGTGGACACAGTTGGCAATGGGCTTTGTTGCAAGGATAGGTTCCTGGGTTAGTGGTTCTGTGGTGTGGTGTGGTGTGTGGTTGCTGGTGAGTATTTGCTTCAGGGTGGGGGCTGTCTGTAAGCAAGGACTGGCCTGTCTCCCAAGATTTGTGAGAGTGATGGGTCGTCCTTCAGGATAGGTTGTCGATCCTTGATGATGCGTTGGAGAGGTTTTAGTTGGGGGCTGAAGGTGATGGCTAGTGGCGTTCTGTTATTTTCTTTGTTGGGCCTGTCCTGTAGTAGGTGACTTCTGGGTACTCTCCTGCTGGTAATAGCTCATCTTAAGTGATCACTCTCCTTACAGTGTGTATGATAACACCATTTTTTCATGTTCTGTGTGTATATAAATCTCCTCACTGTATTTTCCACTGAATGCATTCGATGAAGTGAGCTGTAGCTCACGAAAGCTTATGCTCAAATAAATTGGTTAGTCTCTAAGGTGCCACAAGTACTCCTTTTCTTTTTGTGAATACAGACTAACACGGCTGCTACTCTGAAACGTATAGCTAGCAAGTGATCCTGAGCTGCGTGTCTGTATAGGAATGACCTCAGTAATTCTTGGGTCTGAGGAGTAGGAAACACTGGTCTTTCTGAAGTATGAAATAGCAGTTTTTTAGCTCTTATTATAGGAAGAGATGAACCAATTCTGCTTTAATATTATATAATATATTTTATGCAATAATGATGTAGACTAGATCATAACTGAAATAAAGTCCTGTAGAAATATCTTTTGAGTCAATATCAAAAGTACTATTTGTACAAATGAATTATAGCTGTTTATTCTAGTTTAAATTTAAGATATACACAAATACTAGTTTTAAATGAAATGGTGACTTTGATATGCATGTAAAGTGTGTGTTGTTTCTTTGTTAAGGCATGCTTGAATTTATTTAATAACCTTTTCACCCTTTTCTGCCTCTTCCTGTTCATAGCCACTTTACATATTTGATCCTCACTACCACAGTAGAATTCCTGATTACTAATCATGTCTACTTTGCCTTTAATGTATTCTTAACTCTTGACTTGAGTTTTCATGCTATTCATTTTAGGAAACAGACCCAGACTTTGATCATTGTGCTGTCTGTATCGAGTGTTACAAGCAGAATGATGTTGTCCGCATCCTGCCATGCAAGTAAGCTAGCAATTTCTCTTCCCTTGTAAATGGGTTTATTCCTGAGAAATGTTTATGCTGATTCTTGTTTACATCCCTTTGTTTCATTTTATCTAGCATGTGCTCTTCCCTGTTATATACCAACATAGGTGTGCATAATATTTTACACATACCTAGTTTAGACAGGACCCTTGTCCTAGGAGCATGCAATCTAAATAAGGTTAATACAATACAATGAGGTGAGAAGGTGGGAGCTGACAGAGTTATTGACAATGGAGACTATGCAAGAAGAGGTTCTGGAGGAATGGCAGATGGAAAGTAGGAAGTGATTTTTAAGGGAAGTGAAGACCATGAAAAAGGCACAGAATTGGGAGAGAATGAATGAGACAAAGAGCTTTAAGGACTGAAGATTGGGCAGATCCAGTACTGACGTCAATTATAGTAAACTAAAGTATAGATGCAAAATTCTACACAGTGGATACTGCAACTTAGTATCCTGCTATGCCTATGGGTCCCAACCCAAAATTACACTGCCAGAATGTGTCAAAGGGTTAGATGAGAGACCTGTGGGGTAGGGTGGGAGGGATTCTGCCCACTTAGGTAAGGGGGCCTGGCAGGGGTTGCAGAGCCCGCCTTGCACTCTGTGGCTCCGGTCCCATGAGGCTTGCTGGGCTTGGCTCTCTGCTCCAGGTGTTGCAACATGACGCACAGGGTCACAGCACTGCTTAGATTTGACCCAGCTGCCTCTCCGTCATGATGATGGGGGGCCAGACAGGTCAAATTTGAGCGGCTCAGTGACAGCATGCACCAGATTACAACACCACTCTCACAAATTTGACCTGCCCTGTCCTCCACCAAACATGAGCAGTGCTGCAACCCCAGAGATCACAACTCCCAGAGCAGGGAGCTGAGCCCAGACAGCATTGTGGGACAGAAGCTGCAGGACCTGCCACTATGGTACTCATGGTATACTTACTTAGTACTTATTATGTAAGTGTGTATATTATGTGGGTAAGAAATATTTAGTGAGCCAGATTTTTCTTTTACTAAAGGTATTTAGTGTTTTTGGGTTTGAGGTATTTGGGTTGTGATAGGCTGTCCTGAGACCAAAAAGGTGAGAATCAGAGGTCTAAGCAATTCCAGCTTGCTCAAGCATTTCCCAGTTACTAGAAATGCTGCCATCCCCCATCTCCACCTTAGTGTTGACATCAAGGACTATGTAAGAAGATCGTTTTTTCCAGTACAGCTACTGGACAGCTATCAGTCTGGACAGCTATCCTGTATTGGCACTTAAAGTGCAGCAACCAAACTCTGTCCTTGTGCTCTTGCCTCAGTCTTCTCATTTCCCCTACATCCCAAAGATCTCGATTTAGAGCTATGTGACATAAACTGAAAATCTGCTATAGAGAGAAACTGCTTTTTTGGGTGGTGAATATTTTTAGAAGAATTATCTAATAATTTGTGGTAGCTTTGACTGTTACCAAGGATATCTTTCCCTTTCATTTTTACAACACATTTTTCTTTTCCTCTTCCCTCTCCCCCACCCCAAAAGAGAAATATGTATATTACTATGCATACATGCAGCCAAGATCCAACAACTTGGCCTATGTTGGTATAGAAATAGCTATATGCATGATACACTAAGAAACAACTAAGTCACAGTGTCGGAACCAGGCATCAGTCCCATGTCCCTGAGGGGCATATTACAGCTCATTATCAGTCTTCTAAATCCTCCTACAAGCTGTCCTACATAGCTGGAAATTTTTTCTTCTAATGCATAAAGAATTTTTGCTATTATAATATATTAAAGAAACCATCTCAAATTGTAATTTGTACATAGTAAATTAAAATGCCTTTATCATGGATGTTTCTGTTAACACCTTCGTTTACTGAGGCAGGAAGATTTTATAAATCAATTCTCTTTCCCTGTATTCTTCTTTTATTTGCGCTGTGTGTGTTTGTGTCGGACAATGAAAATCAATGAAGTGTTTCCTTTTTAGGTTTACAGTGCTGCAGTGCTTGGGTAACAAACACTGCAGAGACATGTTTGTTTAGAAACTATTTCCACTGAAATGTAGTGGTTGAAAAAAGACCACTTGGAAGCATTTTTCTTGGTCTTTGATGTGGTAAAGGTTTGTTTTTACGAAGTCTAAATTTTTTACCCAAATTTGAATTATACTTTTAAAAATTCACTCATTTTTATTTACTCTTATGCAAAAATATTCTGTCCTCAAAGGCCCTACAAACATTATTAGGGACAGCTGTCGGATAGAAATTTCAGAGACTGCTTGATTCTCTAATTCCAGGGTGTAGTTCAAGAACATTCAATTGCATAATAGTAACACTAATTGTGGGTCCAGGTTAGAGAAGATTATCTAGAGACTCCAGACTCTCCCACTTCTTTCCCTCCTGTCATTAAAACTTTTATTTAGCTGTTCTTTGAGTGATTCATGCGCATCTTCACATGGATGCCATTATCCTAGAAAGTTTGTGTTCTTACAATTTTTCATGTGTAATTGGGCATCTGAAGTGAATAAGGAGTATGCCTAATTCTGAGCAGGACTTGGTTTTATTTATTGGGTTTCAAAATATAAGGTCTGTAAATTTAAATAAGTGGTAATGTAGTAAAATGAATATCAACCAATTTAGGCCTAACACCTGACCTCTTAGATGGTGATAAATTGTCTATGAATTTCCTAAATCTGCTTTGGTCCCAGAGAGAAGTAAAACATATATCCACACTATTATTCACCTTAAGCAACTAACGAATCAATAATGTATTTCATCTTGCTGCAGAAGGGATACAATGAATGAAATGAATGGCAGTTGTTTGATACTGTGCAGATTCAATTCCCAGAACTATTCCTGCTGACATTAACACTTAGAGCCATAAAGAAAAGTACACTTGACTTAGTTGGAGGGACCAAAACAAAGTAAAATGGATTGCTTTCCCTCAACTTCGCTTTGCACCTTGAACTAAGTCCATCCCGGGCTCCTTAGTCCTTCCCATTCCCAAACAATAAGGCCAGGCATAAAATATCATGCTCCAAAAGCCTGATAGAGCTGCTGCTGGCTCCATGCCAGAGCCTCCGAGATTGATCTCCTATCATCATGCATGTTTTCCTTCTTCTGGATCCCAGCCTAACTGTATGTATCAGGGACTATACAGGCAGAAGAAAGGCCAGATAAGCTAAACTGTCTTTCACCAGTTTGGACTGCCTCTTTCAGGAGTCCCAAACTAGTTCTGCATCCCTGCCAGAAACCTACCCTCCCTTTCAACAGAACACTGCACACGCATACACACACTGAGTGAAACTCCCTCAAAATAGCTTCTAAAGTGTTAAAACGGCTACAGTTCAACATAAAATCCTAATGCACAGACAGAAGTAAGTCAGTGGTTACCATGTTGACCTCTGAAGTGCTAACAAAAAGATAACTCTCATTTTTACCAGATGGCAGAAGAAAAAATGAGCATGGAAAAATTTATTTCCGAGCTTCTAAGACAACATTCAACAATGGAGAGTAAAATATAATGTATTATGGACATTTGGTAGTGACTGTTTAATATTTTTTTGAAGTTGATATGATTCTAATTAATTAGTTTACCTTACCTACCATTGGTCCCCCTACAAATTTTTGTTGTCTTGCAACCCTAGCTTCTATTTTTAAACATTTTTCTTCCCTGGAGCTATGTGAAAACCTTAAATCCACACAAATGATACGATGAAACTGCTGTCAAATACACAAAGCAAGCTGAAAGAATGTTTCACTACCCTTTTCAGCTACAATAATATAGATTTCAGAGTAGCAGCCGTGTTAGTCTGAATCCGCAAAAAGAAAAGGGAGTACTTGTGGCACCTTAGAGACTAACAAATTTATTTGAGCATAAGCTTTCGTGAGCTTACAGCTCACTTCATCGGATGCATTTCCGATGAAGTGAGCTGTAGCTCACGAAAGCTTATGCTCAAATAAATTTGTTAGTCTCTAAGGTGCCACAAGTACTCCTTTTCCTTTTGAGTAATATAGATGTAACAATAGATTCAAAAATTAGACTGAATGTTTCTAATTTTTTGCCTGGGAATATTTTGTATATAAATAGAGTATAAAATTGCCTGCTGATCAGCCAAACACAATCAGAATAACCACCAGCAGCGTGTTAATGCCTAGGCCAACAAATTTGCAGGGGCAGCAAATTTATAACAGCAGCCAGAGGCTGCTTCCCCTGGTGCCGGTTCGCGCTCTCCGGCCCCGCCCCAACTCCACCCCTTCCTCACCCCCTCCCTAGCCCTATTGGTCCCCTTCCCCAAATACCCATCCCAGCCCCACCTCCTCTCCTGAGCACGCCGCGTTCCCCCTCTTCCCACCTCCTTTGCGAAGCTGTTTAGTGCACAAGCACTGGCAGGGAGTGGGGAGAAGCAGGACCCGGCGTTGCGCTCAGGGGAGGAGGTGGAGTCTGAGACGAGGTGAGCTGGGGGGGAGAGGGCGCGGCAATTATTTCTGGGCCTAGGGGCGGCAAAATCATTAATCCATCACTGATAACCACTTAATTGCAGGGAATCTTTGGCGGTCAGACTACATGACCATAATGGTCCCTTCTGGCCTTATCTTTAAATCTTGCTTGTGCATCTCTCAAATCGCTTAAGCATCTTGATTGGCTCATATTTAATTTTTTCCTGGAGGAACACTGTTATAGTAAAAGATTGATCTTGTATTAATCAGCTACATGTAGAAACAAAAAAAATTAACTGAACTCTGAAAAAAGAGAGCATTACAATATTACTATGCCGTTGGCATACCGTTCTTTGTTAGGGTGCAGTTTTGCTTGTATTTTTCTCCTCATATCACTAACAAGATTGCACATACTTTACATAGTAAGTTCAAAAATATGTATTAAATTACAAAAGCAGTGAACAGTATTCTTTAGATAATAGGCTGTTCTAGCCTTGTTTGATATGAACAGGTAAGGAACTGGGTGTACTAATAAATACCTTTATAGGATCTTAATCTCTCCCTTTCTACTC